CCCTGTCCTGCAGGCGAGGGGCCGGGAGGTGGCTCATCCTGCGTCTCCCACTCCTGCCCCGAGGGCTACTGCAGCAACGGGGGACGCTGCCATCTGCACCCCATCACCTGCACCCCTACCTGTGCCTGCCCCCCAGCTTTCACTGACCAGCACTGCCTGGTGGCAGGGGGGGATTTTCGGCCACTGGCCAGGGCAGGTGGGTGCCTGTGCGTGGTGGGGGCTGAACCCCAACCCCGCTCACCCCAGTCCTGGGATGCCAGACCACCACTGTGGTGTCCTCTCAGCAGATCTCCCCCGGAGAAGCGTCCAGCTGTGGGTCAGGGCACTGCAAAACGCCACTGCCGGGGAAGTCAACAGCACTGTACGTCACTGGAGGGGACGGGCTCGGGGAGGGGGACACACCAGCACTCCGGGCGGCATGGTAGCTTGGGGTGGCAGTACTTCCATGTATCCCCCTCCCACGGGATCCCCAGGGACCCAGCAGATCCGCAGGTCCAGAGGGAGGCAGCGCTAGTAGCGTGACACCGGCTGCTGCCATGGCCACGTGCCAGGTCCCCAGCGTGCAGATAAAAGGCCACAGCAGCCCTCAGGGCTCGGCCACGGTGCCCACATCGCCCTTCAGCCTCTCCCTGCACCAGTGCCGTCCTGCTCTCCTCTGACACCCTCCTGCTCACTCATCACAGGTCTCAGCCATCCTGGGCTCCATGGAGGTGAAGGCTTTCCAGAGCAACATCAACATCACCCAGACGTGAGTCGGCGGTGGAGCAGCCCCATGCCCACCTGGGGAGCTGGCTAGGCAGGGCCGGGCACAGGGCCACAGAGTTGGGGACAAAAAGGGTATTTTCCCCCCGAGCCAGGGTCTGTTCTTCCAGCTGTGATACTGATGAACCCATGGGGGCACATGAGCCTCACGGCACCTTTCAGCAATGATGCCCATGTGCCTCCTCCCTTCTTTATGTCCCTCCAAATGGGGAAACTGAGGCAAAGTGAGGCTCAGCTGCTCTGTGATGCAGCAGCAGCTCCACCAGCAGCCCTGACCTTTCTCCGCAGGACCGATGATGATGGCTTCACCTTCACAGTGGTGTCTGAGTTTGCCTACGACAGTCATGGCACCGTCATCCAGTTCCTGAATGAGG